CGTAGTGATATTTTGACTGGTCAATACAATGAGTGATCTGTGTAACGGAGAATGAAAATCATATCTATATTTGGACGGTTCCTCCTGTTTAATGTAACACAATATTCAAAAAATTTTTACATAACTACGTATTTTTACACTACCCTAAGAAATATATATTGATATAATATAAATAATTTAATTGATATTGATATTTTATTGCTTATTTTTACAATGGACGATGTTCAAGAAATTCATAACTATCCTTTCGATTCAATTATTAAGTTTAAACAATCAAATCGTAGTTTTTTATATAAAATTATTAAAGAAAGCACATATCCTAATAAGTCATTCTTAGTATATACCCTTCCGCCTGAAAATATCAAATTCCTAATGATTATACAATAGAAACTGCTTGGAGTAGAGGCAATAATCAATGTACTGTTCGTTGTTCAATTAACTATAATAAGAAGGTCCAGTTCTTCAAATATATTTTGGAAAATACTTCGAATATATTGAAGTTACTAAAAATAGAACATCTTAAATAAATACATATTAATTTTCAATAAATAAATACTATAAACCGATCGACCGAATTTTACAGAAAGAGATGAGCTTTAAAGTGGAGAGATGGGTTTGACGCGATACGTATAAAAGATAGATAGATGCATATAGAGTAGAGTCAAAGTGGTAAAACAAAGCTCGAATCACTAACTCTACTATCTATAAACCCAGGTTGATATCTATAGTTAATAAACCTATACGCTTTAACAAACCAAGTCAACTTAAGAATATCTTAAATATAAAGCATAGATCTCTTACACGAACAAGCATGTTTTGCTTTAAACATCTAACTTGAAATCTCAAGCTTTAAAAAAAAAACGACTGCTTTGTTAATAACTACTTTTGTTTTTGTGCATTTTAAAATTTATACGTAGCTTTTTTTTTTTTTACCTCTTGCGGAAAGTCATGTCTAAGCCAACCTCTCTTAAATTAGAGATTATTAGAGATTATTTTTAAAGTTAGCTTTCTAGTACCTCTTCGAAGCTAAAGATGATGTTTGTTAAGAATGGTTACTTGTATAATGTTGCATTCTCAAAAGTACTCTAAAACATATAAATAAGTTACCCGAGCAATTTATTTATATTAGCCAATCAGACGAATTTCTGCCTGAGATTGTCAACCCTTCAATATGATAGAACACCCCATTACAGGCAACAAATAGTAACACTAGAATACTTTAAACACACACCTTTTTATGAAGTAGTTATTCTCAACTGGCTAACTGCTTATACGAATTTTCTAGTGAATTATCAAGATGCTATAAAAGATTTTAAAATGGTGTTATAGACTCTTATAATGAATTTGAAAAGAAGTACGTATTAGACGATTACAGGTTAGTGTCATTTCGTTTAATTGCAAATGTCTGTTGAGCTGATAAAAATTTTTACAGGTTGCTATAGAACTGGAGTGACAAAATTTTTTTCTCAAATTGGTTATAAACTTACAGTTCAACTCAATGTTCATGGTCATGAGTCTTATAGCTCAATCATCAGAAAATTCAAAGATTTTCTTTTACTTTACCGGAATATTGAATTTTCCCTAAGAATTCATTTAGAAACGTTTATCAGAGTTTCTGATTTTTTACTAGATGTATATACTTTAATAATAATTACTAATAACTCATTTATATTTAAGCGTGATGAACCGATAATCAAGTTTATCAATAAGAGTTTTGCGAGAAAAACATTCACATAGTTCCAAGTTTAAGGGATGTGATTAAGTAAAGTTCATATTAAAAAACTTTCGTGTCTATTGAACTCTAATGGTAATAATGTAAAAATTTAAAATAATTGGCTATCATTAATATATGTATTAAATAAATATTTACGAATGTAATTTGTAAAGAATAGTATTAAAATTAAAATATTAAATTATTTATTATTTCAGCTTTAGAAGATAATATATCATAAATTTTTAAAGCATCGTTATATTTTTGTTTTTGGTCAAGATAATTGGCAACACCTAAAACATACACCTTATTTTTTTCAGTGCCCTCCCATATAAATTACAAAATGCAATGTAATACATGGCAGTGCCATATATTTCAATGCCCTCTTTATGTGTATTGTTTTCTTGTTTTTGGCAAGTAAGTTGTTCAAAGAGATCATAAGCTGATTTGTATTTTTCTTCGTTATAAAGTTGTTTTGCAAGATTTAATTTAGACATATTCCAACTTTTACTTAAAGGTTTGTTATTCATATTTCTAATGATAATCATTCTTTTTGCAACCTTGTTCTATATTTATAATTTTTGTTAAATATTAAAAATTAATTATTTTAGAAATTAAATTACATTTTTTATTGTTAAATTATTACAATTTAATTTTAATAATTGAAATTGTTGGAAAATATTAGTGCAAAATTTTAAATTCTTGTAGTTTTTCTTGGAATCATTTTCTATTGCTCGAGTTGAATTGTATGTTCTAAAAAGTTTACAAATTGATATAAGAGTAAAAATTTTGTGCTTTTTGAATGTAATTGCTGAAATTTTTTAATAAAAGGTTTACAAATTCAATACCAATACAATAAACTTTTAGTAACTAAATAAAATAAGTTTTAAGTTAGCATTTATGCTTTACATTGAAAAAGTCTTGTTGCAATTTGCCATAACATTTATATATTTAATATGGAATAATCACAAAGCATACGGTGAATCTTAATGAAGATTTAAGCAATAAGAATAACCTTTAATAGATGAATCATTTACATGAAGTAAGCTTTAAATACTCTTCTAATTATTTTAAACTTTCATCAAATAGCTTATAATTAATAGATCACATCATGTGTGGGATTAGATGTGTAATGTGGTCCCGAATTACATAATTGTTTAAACAGGGGTGAACGTTCCAATTATGGAAATGACGATCCGATTGTTACACAATTATTAAAGAAAATTTTTTATACGTT